TCCTGCCTTTCCCAAACGACAAAATTCGGCAAGTGCTACTTCGCACATTTCTGGTCCTTCGAGCCGGATTCGCGTCGTGATAACCGGCTTCAATCCGCGATCCAGCCCTCGGCGCAGCTTCCATCGCGTCGTGAGTGATCCTGAAAGGGAAAGATGGAACGATTAATTAACTCCCAACGAGACATTTACGGGCGCATCGCCCGCACAGTGGAAAATCTTCGCAAAACCGGCGCCGCCAAAATCTCGCTTCCCCTCGTTCGCTCCACGCTGTCGGTCCTCGAGGGCAAATGGGCCAAATTCCAAGCGCAGCATGACCGCCTGCAAGAAGAGTTTGGTGAGGAGTTCGATAGGAACAAGTACAATACGGAGGACTTCCTGAGTACCGTCGAAACGGCCTACATTCAACAGAGAACCAAGCTTCTGGAGTACGAGGAAAAGCTCGGGGAACCGAAGGTTCTCGATGACTCTAAGAGCAGGGCAGGGCAAGCGACCTCTCGCAACGTATTGCCCCGAATCCAGATGCCGGAGTTCTCAGGAAAATTCGAAGATTGGCCTGCCTTCCGAGATTTGTTCTCCTCCATTGTAGTGACTGACGACGCCTTGTCAAAGGTCGAAAAATTTCACTATCTGAAGACAAGCGTGAAGGGGGACGCTGAGCAACTAATAAAAAGTTTACCGTCCACGGAGGAGAACTTCGAGCGCGCCTGGTCGATCCTCAATGACCACTTCGAAAATAAGAGACTGCTGGTGAGAGCTTACCTTGCAGCATTTACTTCACTTCCGAAGATGAAGGGTGAGTCCGTCGCCGATCTCCGACGCATCTTCCACGGAGTGGTCTCCACCGTCGGCGCATTGGAAGGCATAAGGCGACCGATCACGGATGGCACGGACCTCTTCGTGCACATGGTCGTGGAACTCCTTGACTCCAAAACCCGCCGAGAATGGGAGAGCTCGCTCGGGAAAACCGTCGTGCCACCGTCTTACGAGGAGCTTCGCGACTTCCTGCAGGAGCAGCTGATGACGCAGGAGGTGCTCCGGGTGGCCAGAGGCGAGACATCCTCGGGAAAACCTGGTGAGAAGACGAGCCGTTCAACTCGGGCCACGTCAAGGCTCAGGGGACGGACGCCGGCCGCAGCTGCCCACTCTGTAAGAAAGAGCATTTCTTAGCCTTCTGCGAACAGTACAAGCGAAAGACAGCCCAGGAGCGACGAGAGGTAGCCACTACGCATCAGCGCTGCTTAAACTGTCTGGGTCGACATCTGATCGGTGAGTGCACGTCCACTAAGACTTGCTATAAGTGTTCGGGTCGGCATCACACGTCGCTTCATGACGCATTTTCGGCCGTCGCGTTGCCCGCTCCCGGTACGAGCTCGACCCCGACGGCGCACGTTGCAAAACGATTGTCCGCGGAGTGCGCCCCCGTCTTACTCGCAACCGCGCGCGTTCTGGTGATGAACTGTCACGGCGAGTACCACCCCGTGCGTGCCTTGGTGGACCCGGGCTCCGAAACGTCGCTGATCTCGGAATCGTTAGCTCAACGTCTGCGATTGCCGCGCACTCCGACGTCTGTCGCGATCTACGGTGTGGGTGGCCTCCGGACGGGCTGCGCGCGAGGACGAGTTGCCGTCACCTTCGCGTCGCGTGTCGGACAATACACTCTCACCGTCTCGTCCTTAGTGCTGCCGAAGCTGTCCGTGTACAGCGGGGCGGCCGAGAGCGGCAGCGGGTCGTGGCCGCATGTGGACGGACTCACTCTCGCCGATCCCGAGTTCCGTGCTCGGGACCCCGTCGAGCTTCTCCTTGGTGCGGAAGCATACGCCAGCATCATATTAGAGGACCTCCGTCGCGGGGGGCCCTTGGAGCCGATCGCACACCGCACACAGCTCGGGTGGATCCTCATGGGCGCGGTCGGAGGCTGTCACGCGGCGTTAACCGTTTCGTCGCTCCAATGCTCTGCCACTGATGAGCTGACGGAGGTGATTCGGCGGTTCTGGGAATGTGAGGAGCCGCCTCGCGCTCCCTTGCCGCTCACCCCCGACGAGCAGGAATGCGAAGACTTCTTCGCGCGGACGTGCGAGCGCCTTCCTTGCGGCCGTTATCAGGTGCGTCTGCCGGTCCGGTTGGAGCTGCCTGACTTGTCGTCCACGCGCCGCGCTGCTTCTCGAATGCTCGAGGTCATGGAGTGTCGATTCGAGCGCGATCCTGCCTTTCGTGTGATGTACCACGACTTCATGGAAGAATATCTCGCTCTCGGGCATATGACGCCGTCGGCAGTCGAGCGGGGCGTCAACGCCTGCTTCCTGCCGCATCACGGCGTCCTGAAAGGCTCGGGGCCCGACGTGAAGATCCGCGTGGTATTCAACGGATCTGCGCGCACCGCGGCAGGGCAGTCACTGAACGACTTCCTCCACGCGGGGCCCAATCTGCTGCCGGCTCTCGCGGATGTTCTTACGCGTTGGCGGCGGCACCGATACGTCTTCACTGCCGACATCGTTAAGATGTACCGGCAAATTCAGGTGCACCCGGCGGACAGGCACCTGCAGATGATCCTGTGGAAACAATTGGAGCACGCATTAAATACCGTCACGTACGGGCAAAAGGATGCACCCTACCTTGCATTGAAGACGATGGACCGACTGGCGGAGGATGAGCGGAGCCGGTTTCCTCTGGGCGCCAAGGCGGTGCAGAGTGATCGATACGTGGACAATGTGCTCTCCGGGGCTTCCACTCTTGACAAGTGTCGTCGTCTCCGGGAACAGGTAGCTTCGTTGTGCTTGGCGGGCGGCTTCCCGCTCAGGAAATGGGCTGCAAACAACGAGGCCCTCCTGGAAGACGTTCCCCTCGAGCATCGTCTGCGGCCAACAGCCTGCGCCTCGCTCCCCTCGGACGACTGCTCCGTGCTGGGCCTACGCTGGAGCCCTGGGAGTGATGACTTCGCGCTCACAGTCCTGAAATCTGACGTGGTCTCCCCCACGAAGCGATCGGTGCTTTCTCGGACCGCTCGGTTGTTCGACCCGCTGGGTTGGTTGGCACCTGTGATAATCAAAGCGAAACTATTAATTCAGGCAGCTTGGTTACAGCGACTTGACTGGGACGCCCCGCTAGCACCCCCTGACGCGGCGGCTTGGACAAACCTCGAGGAGGAGCTTCCTGTGCTGGAGCAAGTCCGCGTCCCTCGATGGTTCGGGCTCGACGGCTCGGAGAACACCGTCGAACTTCACGGCTTCTCGGACGCTTCCGAGCGGGCCTATGCTGCCGTGGTATATCTCCGGGTGACGATTGCAGGAAAACCTTACCTGTCAATTGTGGCGGCGAAGACCAAGGTTGCGCCGCTGAAACAGGTCACGCTCGCTCGGCTGGAGCTGAGTGCAGCGTGCCTGCTCACCAAGGTGGCCGAGCACGTGCGCGTGGTGCTGCGCCTGGAATCCGCACCTTTCTTCTTCTGGACGGACTCCATGGTCACCCTCGGATGGATCCGCGGCCATCCCACCAGGTGGACGACCTTTGTGGCAAACCGAGTCGCTGAGATTCAACGGGCGAGCCCGACCATTCAATGGCGCCACGTTCCGGGGGGCCAGAATCCTGCGGATTGCGCCTCTCGCGGCCTGTCCCCGAGGGAGCTCTTGGATCACCCCCTATGGTGGAGCGGGCCCGACTTCCTCGCTAGAGGCTCAGCGGACTGGCCGATGGAGCCGGGCCTCCCGGAGCATGTGGAGCTCCCGGAGCAGAGGGCCCTCCGGTGTTTCGCGATCTCTGATGCGCAAGAACCCGATGAACTTCTCCGGTTTTCCTCTCTCCGACGGTTGTTGCGTGTCTCAGCCTGGATGTTTCGATGGAGGATGCACCGCTCCTTACCTGACACGAGGGCGGACATCTCGGCGCTGACCTCAGCGGAGCTGGACGCGACCCTCGCGCGGTGGATCCGGGTGGCTCAGTCGGTCGCCTACCCTCAGGAGCTCGCCGATGTTCGGGCTGGACGGGCGGTATCTGGCCGGAGCCACCTTCGCCGACTCACTCCGGTCATTGACGCTGAGGGAATCCTGCGGGTTGGAGGACGAATCAGGCACGCGCCATTAGACGATGACCAGCGACACCCAGCCATTCTACCGCCGGGCTCGCATCTGGCTTACCTGGTGATTGACGCAAGTCACCGTCGCTCTCTCCATGGAGGAACTCAGGCCACTCTAGCGATCGTCCGCCAGCGGTTTTGGATTCCTCGAGGCCGTCAGCTTGTGCAAGGCGCAATACACCGATGCCTTCCATGCATCCGATGGCGGGCGGCCTCCCCGCAACCTATCATGGGAAGTCTGCCACGGGCCAGAGTCACTTCTAATCGGCCCTTTCTCCACACTGGAGTGGACTTCGCCGGTCCGATATTCCTTCGGACGGCCAAGGGACGAGGCCACAAGGCATACAAGGCCTTCCTGGCAGTTTTTGTATGTTTCAGCTCTAAAGCAGTCCACCTTGAGGCAGTGAGTGATTACTCGGCCGACGCGTTCTTGGCCGCCTTCAGGCGCTTTGTCTCCCGACGAGGACTGTGCCGGGCGGTCTATAGCGACTGCGGGACCAATTTCGTGGGGGCTGACAATCAGCTCAAGGCGCTGTTTCAGGCAGCGAATCGAGACGTCCATCGGGTCATCGGGCATTTAGCGGACGAAGGTGTCCAATGGCACTTCAACCCTCCCGCCGCCCCGCACTTCGGCGGGCTATGGGAAGCAGCGGTGAAGTCCATGAAACGGCACCTGCGGCGAGTCATCGGCGAGACGACGCGCACCTTTGAGGAGATGACCACCTTCCTCGCAGAGGTAGAGGCCTGTCTCAACTCTCGCCCGCTCCAGGCCCTGACTGACGATCCAGAGGACCTCGATGCCCTGACCCCCGGTCACTTCCTCATCGGGGCACCCCTCAACGCAATCCCCGAGCCGTCAACTGTCGACATTCAAACCAATCGGCTAAGCCGCTGGCGTCTCCTTCAGAACATGAGGGACCACCTGTGGCAACGGTGGTCGCGAGAGTATCTGCAGGAACTCACTCCGAGACCGAAGTGGTGGACGGCCGACAGGAATTTGCGAGAGGGCCAGCTATGCCTAATTAAGAGCGAGACCACACCACCTTCGCGCTGGCCACTCGCTCGAGTCGCTCGCCTGCACCCAGGAGAAGACGGCCAAGTGCGGGTGGTGGACCTGCGGACCGCCAACGGAGAGCTTACTCGCCCTGTCGTGAAGCTCGTGCCTCTGCCCCCGGCTGACACCCGGGCTCAGGAGCCTGTCACTTGCATGTAACCTGTACACATTTTACACAGCAGATAGTCAATTCTTTTGTAAATAACTCTCATGTAATTAATTTTCATGTAATTCTTTTCTTTTCAATGCAGCCGTAGTACTCACGCCGTGTGATGTGCATCGTTTGACATAACTGATATAACACTGTACTTCCTTACTTTCGCAATCAGCTGACTTTAGCACGTGTCGCAGGGATGCCCGGGAGGGATCGACACTTTGATCGACTAAGTTCGCGCTGTTTCGTCGACCGTCACCGACGAGGCGGGCGGGATGTTCGGAAAAGGCGACTTGGCCGCGAGGGATCACACCGAGAATCGCTCGCGCCAATTACGAGCGCGCGCTCGCCTGCGTAACGCGTCGCGCTGACGGGCCCCGCTCCGCGAATCGCGCGGCTTGAAGGTCGGCTAGCAACCGCACGAGGCAAACGGATGGAGTCTTTGAATAAAAACAAACAACTTGTCCTCCGACTTTCTAGAAGATTCGCCACCGCCTTTGTCTTAGACAGAATTGTTGTCGATCACGGGCAGAATCTTCTGGAAAGTCGGAGACTATAAATAACGAACGCACGGCCGGGCCCGCACTCATATCGCACGTAGTTTTCGCTGTGTAACTGTATCACGCTTTAACTCCGATTTTCGCGGAACTTCGAGCTCGCGCACTGCTGCTTTGTTCTTATTTTCGCACATTTCTTTGTACACTGCACTTGTGAAAAATACACGTCCTTTCTTGCAAATTGCTTTCTAACTCGCTTTCGTGCTTCTTCCTGCCTTTCCCAAACGACAAAATTCGGCAAGTGCTACTTCGCACA